ATAAGCACTTGGGAATTTTTAAGAACACTCGAGAAGTGCGAGAAGCACTCGGCTGCGCCTCGTGCTTCTCTATGCACTTCTCTCGTGTTCTTAAAAATTCCCGCGTGCTTATATAACTCAACAATGCACTCGGGCGCGTTTTTTATTTCTATAATAACTGCCGACTCGGATCAGACAGTCTGTTATGAATTGCGACTATTTTCAGAGACATATTGTGTTTATATCAAGCTAAAGAACGCTTTAATTTATTGAGACAAAGCTTCGTAAGAAGATAATTGAGTTTTGAACAGAATTGTGGATGATTTCAGTTGCATCAGTTTTATACTTTCAGTGTTTTGGGTACCCAAAATACTTGGGATTTGTGACAGCGTTCGGCGTAGTTCGGGGGGAGGGACGGGAATTTTGTTGAATGATGATATTTGAATGTCCGGGAACTTTCAAAACCTTTGTCATAAAAGAAGGTATGTTATTAAATCACTATGCATGATAAAAGTTGAATAATTATTATTGCTGAACAAAAATAATTGTGGTTGAAGTTGAACAAATAACGTTATTGAATGAAAATGATTTTGGTAGAAGCTGAATAATTATTTTGTTGAATGAAAATCATTTGCTTTGAAGTTGAACAAATATTGTTGTTGAATAAGATTATTTTTGGTTGAAGCTGAACAAATATTTTTGTTGAATGAAAAGAATTTTGGTTGAAGTTGAAAGAAAATGCGTATTGTTGAATATAAATATAAAATGTTGAATTTAAATATATGTTGTTGAACATAAATATAAGTTGTTGAATATGAAGGTACAAGTTGTTGAATTTTGCAACATTTGGCTAACCATAAATGAGTGTGTCCTGTCTCTGTCATTAAGGTTACCGTATAACTTTAGAGGTTACTCACGTCCAACCAATGTAGCGCGTCCGATTGTGACTCTGGATAACTAAACCCCATATCAAATTAAAGCTTATAGAGCTGGCTATCAAACTTTACCAATAATTTAGAAATAAAATGAATTGTCGAATTTTTCACGACCTCTAAATGTGAGCGTCTAACTCACCATTTGAAAACTACAAATCAAAGGGAATTTGTTCGTTTACCCTAAAACTTTGGACAGTAGCTAGGTTTACATAGAAAAAATTACTAAAACCTGTCTCTTATTTCCGAATATTTGTTTTTCGCGGTAACATTAGCTGTGATAAAAAGAAAAACGAAGACAAACTCGACAGAATGACCTATAAAATTACCTTATACCTACTGGACTGAACCTCCATTCAGACCTACTGCCTTAACATACACAGGTGTACAGACTGTGCAATGCTGCACTAGGTTTGAAGTTTCCGGTGTTCTCGTAAAGAACACCGTTCACCGTACCGAGGTGCGTCATTGTTTAAACAGCAGACCAGCTGGGATCGAGAAGAGTTCAGACAAGTCTTCTTCTCAAAGAGTGAGCCATACGGCATGCACAGTACAGCAATGAACCATTTTATTGTTTTCATCTGTTTAGTTGCATTCAGGGAAGCTGCTGGGAGGTAGGGACTTATTTGCGGCATTGAAGAAAGTAAGAAATGAAAAAAAGGCTAAAGAAATGACGCATCATTGGCGTTTAGCAAAAACACAGAATGCTTAAACACAAATATATCATAAAATTAACGAACATTTCTTAGAAACTAAGTGAAGGACGAATCTTCTCAATACGACGAGTATTTCGTTGTTCGTAGTCACAAGCCACGCCAAATATGTCGTTCAAAATTTTTAGAAGTTTAGTTGTTCTTATATAGCTCCTTTATTAACACCAAAGGACGCTCACTTTCTGGCCCAACAGTTTAGTTCTAGCTTATATAATTGAGCACAATTATTGTGTTCAATTCTGTTAAGTTCAGATTGGCCATGTTATGGAATCAATCGAAAAAATTCTTGTGGCAAGAATTCGATCATTAGAAAAATGGTGTGGAACTCGCAGACATGAATTGCGCGTTCGTACAAGGACAAGGAATTTGTGCGGCTCCTCCAGGATGCTTCGACGTTCAACATCCGTTCGATAACATTTTCAATGTCTTTGTCTTTTATAACTGAACTTGAATATCAAGACAGTTTTTATGGGTTAAATATCGGCCTTCAGCTTTGACTACCAAGCATGTCCAATGCTTCGGAGAATGTCTGTTCGTTTATGCTTTAGGCATAAGTGACGCCTAATCGTTTAAGGCGTTTATAGCAAAATCCACTAAGTGTTTTCACTTGCCTGCCAAAGCTCACTAATGAGTATACTTCACCCCTTTCTGAAATATTCTTTGTCTTTAAACGTGTCAGTTAAACGAAAATGTTTCATGTCTACGCCACTTTTGATTTTCAGAAGTCCTTTAGCGGCTGACTCAAGTCATGGTTTTAAGGAAAAGCGCTCCCTTCCAGCACGCCAGCTTTTGGTTGGCTACTGGGGACAAAATACTATTGGAACAAGAGTCAGCCGACAATACTGGGAGAAGGACCTGCGCTACTTCTGCAATAATCACAAGTTTGATATCTACTTGGTGGCATTTGTACATCGGCTTTTCAGGAATAACAGGAACAGAGGTATTGCTATGATATCAAGAGAGGGTTTAAGAACGACATTTACAGCAAACGGCAGTAATCACCTCTGATTTTTTTTTTTCGTCTAACAAAAAATCCAAGACAAAAGTAAAAAAAACCTTTCCTATTAATTCACAGCGAATACAAACATTCTCATTTTACTGCAGAAATGGCTAGACGGTAAAAGTTAATCTTTGCGGTTTGTCACAAACGT